AAAAAGAACCAAAAAAAAAAACCAAAAAGAAAAACCAAAAACAAACATAAAACATCGACCAGTTAGCTAAATTTTCCCCATCTAATGGACTTACCGACTACGGAAGTCATGAACTCAGGGGCGGAACTTCCGGCTGCCATGAACGTGGCTCCGGCTACGTCAGCTTGTAATCCCAGATCTGGGGAAGACATGACGGGTATATTACGTGGATTACTCTTTGTGTTCGTCTGCATTTTGTACCACCACGCATCGGGCTGACTGAAGTTTAACAAGTTTAGTATACAACTTAGGCGGCGATCCAGAACTTCCTTGCTCGGATGCCACGAGGGTGGTTTTGTTTTGTTTGGGTAGAGAGAAGCACATCCACACAATAGTGGTCCTTTAGTGCCTAGTGGAACAAGTAAGAAAGACAGACACAGCAGAGGTAAGACAAACAGACACAGCAGACAGAAAGTAAAGAGGTAGGAACTAGTAGTGGTGCCCTGCAACCACCCGCAGAGATTGTTTTGATCGTGACGGTATGCACATTTGTCAGTAGAAGTAACTTTGAGCCCTCCATTTGAAATGTACTTGACCTACTATGCACACCCAGGTTCTCCACTCGAAATAAATAGAGTCATACCTGAGTTGCCCGTGACGTCATACTTGGAAAAAGGTTTGAACATATTTTTAGAAAATGAAGTAGGGGTAGGGGTGGTAGGGGGGATTTTTTAAAACGAATTTTGTATATGACTTTCCTTAATTTGGTCTCGCTCAAATAGCTATGTCTTACGTCCAAGTTTATGTTTCTAGTATGACATTTCTGAGAAGGTTATGAAAGAAAACTGCAGTAAGACAGTTGGTTCCCCAAGGAACGGAATGGAGGGTGCTCACAGCATGACACAAAGGAGCAGAGGATTATAAGACTAACACAAACTTTAAGAAATACTATTATGAACGTTAAAAGTGTTATTTTCTCATAACCCTTTTGTGATCTTCAACATCTAGTCAAGAATTATGTTCTTTATTAACATGTATTCAGTACCACCATAAACATCATCAGCAGCAACATCGACAGCCTCACAACATCAAAACAGTCTACCAAATACAAATCTAACTTTATCCTAACCGTGTTTTGAATATTATAGCTAACATATCCCTTGCACAACATTATACTAATCAGATGACGTCAATCTGTTAGGATTGGGCAAGGAAAAGAAACAAAAAGCAGTAAGGCAAGTCTCATCACGAATGTCAAACAGAAACATATCAAAAATCAACAGGCAAGACCATAGACATTGATTTATTATAGACGGGGAGAGAATCCAACAGGTACATCAATTCAAATATAAGAACAGCAAATACAAAATTGAGAATGAAACAAATCCAGAAAGGGGGGGGGGGGAGATTGAGAGGGTGGGAGAGAACAGGTGTTTATTTAACATCGACAACGCTCCAGGTACGATACTTAACAGTTGTCTTATTTCAGCAGAGGTCTTTTTTCTTTCCCGGAGGGAAGAAAAATGGCACTCGATAGGAGCCTGGCGAAAAAAGGCTTTATTTTACTGAACCATTGTAGACCAGGAAGGAAATTACCACAATCAAATACGAGAGAGACAGGCACACATATAGCTACATAAACAGGTAGTTTAACAAAGTAATAAAGAAAAATAAATCACTGGACGCATAACTTCTATTATGTGTGGGTAAAAATGGACAGATGCAGATGGATGGTGAAGGTAGAAAGAGCGAGGTAGAGGAGAGAGAGAGAGAGAGAGAGAGAGAGAGA